TGGTTTGGCGGAAGAGCGGGCCCAGCTTGTTTCGTTTGGCTATTTCCCATTGCCAGCTTTTGGCGATGGCCTCATTGCCACTGGGTTGGCAATGAGCGGCCCATCGCCACTGTAGTGGTAGTGAAAATGTCTCATCGCCAAACGAAGTTCGTTGCCAAAAAGGCGCTTCATTGCCAACCCAGTGGCAATGAGGGCGTTTTCATCGCCAAGAAATGGCGATGATCATCGCCAAACAAAAAACAGTGTAGAACGCACAATTCAGATAAAGTGACTTCACCTATTTCACGTACACTCTAAAAGTAAAGAAGCAAATTTGTTTCTAAAAAGTAAAAGCTTTCATGCAAATCCAGATCAGATTATGCAATTTTGTTCCTAAATTTTGACAAATTTTGTAAAACGTTTACTTTCTGTCCGGTCTAAGGCACAATCTGCATCTAGTCTAATGTGCATGAAAACGTTGCCTTTTGCGGGTCAACACTGAGATAGGCTTTGTTAGACCCACCTGCCATCTGTCCCACCCTAATTTTTAAACAGTATAAAAAACAATAATTTACGTTCGAAGGAGGAATACGGTAGCCCCCCCCCCCCCTCAAATAAAAAATAACCCACAGTCTTTGAGTGCTCTTACCTGGGCGGAAGGTATCAAAAGGCCGTCTAGGATACCTCTGGTAAGACAGTAATCATTTTATGTTGATTTGATTGAAATGTGCATTTCTAAAAGCAGCAAGACGCCCTTCTCTGGTTTTAAATATTGCCCTGGAACGGCGGAATACGGGACGAGCATAAGAAATTGCGGGTGGGTACTGAACGACGCCCACACCGGAGGACCTCTCCTTTAGTAAAAATTATAAAATATTGTTATCTCTCGTTTGGAGTGCTGAACAATTTTTCATAGTGCCTCCGACGAAGCGTTAGGCTGCTACGGTAGATCCCGTGCCTCACGGAAGAGTTTTGACAAAAAAGACACGCAGCAAACGACAAATCCGTCTGGGTGATTCTCAGAGTACAGGCCATAGGAAAGTTCCTAAAAAAAAAACTATTTTTTTTCGAGTTTGGTAGGTTTTCTGATCGGGATGGTTTTATTTTACTTCAAATAAGATATGTTCAAATTGGTGATAGTTCAAATCACGTACTTGTCGTACAACGTTAAAAGACCATATAAGGGCCACGTTCAATCACTGATAAAACTCAAGTATTGCCTCCCATAGCTTTTAATTGGTCTTTTGTTTGCTCCACCAGTGTGTTGTACTTTAACATCGAGTCCAATTGAGATAGCGATCTGGGAATTTTAGGGTCGTTTTGTATCATGACAAGCAGGCCCGCCCTTCCACCAAACGAAGTTGCCAGCTCCGCTTCGCTCAGCCGGCAACTCCATTCGGCAGGGGCCGGGCCTATTGGCCTGCCGGCGGCGATGGTGGGGCCTGCGGCCCGACCATTTCTGTCACGCGATTTGCTGAAGAACATGATCGAATGATGTAGCGGGCCTTCGGCGCGCTTAAACCCGTCGTCTTTGAGTTTGTCCCAAAGACTCGAGAAAAAGATGTAACCGTGAAGCACTGCGACTACAACCCACCCTTCTGCTTAGAAAACGTTTTTTGGGGGTAGGGGGAGAGTTTCCTTTCTATTTTGCAGTTTGACGGCCTTTTTCTACAACTTATTGTTCACTACGGCAATTTTTAGCTTATTTTCGTCAAATAAGACCCTTTAGCGCCTGAACGGTTAGGGATAGAGCAAAACGGGCGGTATTTCCGTTCAATATGCTCTACTTTGACGAGCTACCCCTTAGGAGAACATAAAAAAAATACTTTTTGGGAGAATTTTTGAACCTTGGATACCCCCATTCACACCCTTAGGGGGTGGTTGCCAGGATTTGCCGTAGGCGTTTCGTTCTCTAGGAGTGGACCTTGAGATAACCTGAAAATTTCAAGTCTCTAGCACATCTCATTCTAGTGAAACAGACAGACAGACACACAGACACACACGAGGTCGTTTGCATAAGCCCGCTAGATAGCTTTTTCAAGGCAAAAGGGCGGGCTAAAAAGACAGACCGAGTTCGAAGAAGAGCACTCTAGCTCAAAAATTGACATTTTTTTAGATCAAAAACCATACGTCGCAATTTATTTTTTTTCAAAACGTTTATATAGGTTCCCAAAGGATAACTCGTTAAAATAGAACCCTTTGGGCGAACATTTTGTCTGTTCTGCTCTATCTTGTACCGGGGGTGGCTCACTGCCTCTAACCCGATTTTTCGATTTCAGTGTCACTTTTAATAATGCCTCTAACGATATTGCCTCTAACCAAAACATACTAGCTATATGTACGACAGACCACGTCTCGCATAACAGGCTTCGCGATATCTCACGAAACACTGTTACGCTGCGACGCGCTTGGCGCACATATAGCTAGGCCTGCGGCGCTGACACCCGAGACGGGGTAATAGGAGTGAATATAGAATTTTTCGAAATGAAGTATTTTAATTGATTTAATCGACCATTTGATCTTTTTCGGCTCATTTTTGTCAAGAAATGCCTCCTAGCACCTAAACGGTACAAGATAGAGCCAAACGGACGAAATTTTCGTTCGTGGGACTCTACATTGCCGAGTTACCCCCTACGAACCTATATAAAAATATTTGATAAAGTACATTTTCCGACCTGTAGCTTTTGATTTTTTTAAAAGCCAATTTTTGAGCTAGAATGCTCATCTTCGAACTCGATCTGTCTTTTTATGAAACAAAATGATGCCTCCTAACGACAAAGTCCGATCTATTGCGCTCCCGTTACACAAAGTTCGATCTGTTTCGCTCCCGTTACACAAAGTCCGACGTGTTGCGCTCCCGTTACACAAAGTTCGATCTGTTCCGCTCCCGTTACACAAAGTTCGATCTGCTTTCCGTCGCGCTCTGCATCGCGGTCTCATTATGTTTATATTTTCGCTAATATTGCCGGTAGAAAATAAGTAAAAGCTGCTGTCTGTTGCTAAAAGATTGAAGAACAACATACTCTAAAGAAAAAATTAAATGCCACAACAACAAAACTGCGGCAGCGCTCTAAACTTTGGTCTCCCGAGAGCGGCCAAAAGCAGATCGAACTTGGTGTAACGGGAGCGGAACAGATCGAACTTTGTGTAACGGGAGCGGAACAGATCGGACTTTGTGTAACGGAAGCGAAACAGATCGAACTTTGTGTCACGGGAGCGCAACACATCGAACTTTGTCGTTAGAAGGCATCGAAAACGACCCTGAAATTCCCAGATCGCTCTCTCAATTCTTGCTCGAGTTACCGTGCGGACAGACAGACAAACAAACAAACATAAACATACCAACAAACAAACAGAATGAAACTTTTCCGGTCAGTGGAGTAATGGGCTCCGCTAATCGCTCAGCCAACAAGGTAGGTGTACGCCAGACCACGTATCCCGTAACAGGCTCCGCGATACCTAACGAAACACTGTTACCCTGCGACGCGCCTGGCATACATCTACCTTGGCCTGCGGCGCTGACACCCGACTCAGGTAGTGCAAAAATGTGCACAAAGAGACGGGCCTCCGTCCCATCAACGCCCGTCACTTCGACTAATCATGCAGGGTTGTACATTTTTTCGTCCAAAACACTCTCTAGCGCAACAACGGTTTGAGCTAGAGCAAAACGGACAAAATTTTCGCCCATGGGGAAGGGTGGGTTGTAGTCGCGGTGTTTCACCGTTACATCCCTTTCTCGTGTCTACGGGGCAAATTTTAAGGACGACGGGCTTTGCGGGCCGAAGGCCCGTTACATCATTTGATTATGTTCTACAGCAAATCGCGTGACATAAATGGTCGGGCCGCAGGCCCGACCATCGCCGCCGGCAGGCCAAGCAGGCCCGGCCCCTGCCGAACGGAGTTGCCGGCGCAGCGAAGCGAAGGGCGGGCCTGCTTGTTATAGGCTTCCACCGATAATATATTGCTTATTTTCACCCGCCACCCATACAAACACGACTTTTTATTATTTAAATGAGTTGTTGAAAACCCGAGGTGGACAGGGTAGCCATCTTGGCTGCCGGCCGCCGGCAAGGCACACATACTGGGGCCCCGTGCGAGGCTACTTCAGAACTTCGTTATTGGCAGCTGCGGACAAAACTTTTCAGACTGATAGTACATCAGCCATAGGCTGGTTGTACCCCCGGGTCTCGAGGTAAGGGGAGGGGGGAGAAGTGCCCTAGGGACCGTGTACCCCCGGTACATGATATATAAGGCTGGTGTAACGGAGGGGTACTTGGTGCCGGGGGGGTTACAACCACTCTGCGACACCGGGTTATTCCGAGCGGTCAAGCTGCCTTGCCACCCATCTCGGCCTTGAGTGCACCGCAAGACGTTTTAGGCTCTCCAGAGTGCAATTTTTCCAATTTCAACACCCGCTTTGTGGCGTTAGAAAGAGGAAAGACCAAAGAATTGAGGAATTAAAAATACTATTTCTTGAAAAGATTTTACAGGTCTTCCCCCTTGCAAGGGTTCGGGTTAGGAGTTGAAACACTTCTTGTTTTGTTACAGGGGTTGTACATCATGAATGGCACAGCGGTCGATCATTTTAACGCCCCAAGAATTCCTGTTCTGCCATATGGCCACTACCGCCTACGGGCGATAAATGGCATACAAAACCGTATGCTCGGCTGCATGATGAGTGAAATAAAAGTCATACCCAAGTTGGTCTGACCCATTAAAGTAATATTAAACGAAGCAATTTCAATGACCGCACGTAAACGTGGAAGTACCGCTTCCATTGATTTAAAGTTTTCAGTATGATGGTGATGGTGTTATCATTAATTTCGACCAGGTTCTGCTAGCGAAATGGCAGTGTGGGCCAGTGCGGGCGCTTTTCTAGCGACCTTTTCGCTCTTCATCCATGAATGCCACACCGAACTTTCTTACGCAATTGCTCTTCTGAAAAACTTTCGTTAATGAGTCATGATCATGGCCAGTTGAAGAAAATCAGAATTAAATTAATTAAAAGGGTGCGATACCGCGATCTGCCTCTGGAGCATCAGCAGTCGTTTACAAGTGTGCTTCATCATTTTGTAAAACGGGTGTTAGTACTTTCATAATTCTAAAATTTTCATTAAATTCTCCCTGTTAGGCGACCACCACGACACATTCAGCAAAATGGCCCCCCTATAACCTTTCGCTGGGTCCGCACCTGGCTCACACTAGCGTGAGCGTGCAAAATGGAACTAAACCTGGACAAATTGTATATATTTCGACGAGTAAGAACGTTCCCGCAAGCCGGATGAAATTGAATGAGCCAATCACGAGTAAATCAAAGTTGAAAAATTGTTCAAAATTCAAATTTTGAACGCAGTTTGCTCGAAAACGGCTCGGTAGATTTTTTTTATCTTTTTTGTTCAAAGTTTGGTTTCCTTAATTTTGTAATTGATCCATAAACGGAACAGCAAAATTGTTCTTACAAAAGTTTTACATGGCTGTCTGATCTACAAATTTTATTCCATGCCGAAATTCATATCTCTTATCAGTTGCGAGCTAGGTAGAATGAAACAAATCCAAAGGTGCCTGGCTGGAGGTCGTTGTGTGGGTTGCCTATCAGCGCCTTACGGAGATTCTCTACAGGGTCTCCGCAGACAAGCAGGGCATCGCACTCTTTAGATCGATATAGCTCGTCAACAAATAGTGCTATCGAAATGAACGGGAAGTCATTTCTGTAGAGAAAACTGCGAGCTACAACGTTTATAAAAACACTTTTAGTCGAATTCTCATTTGTTCACTCGTAAAACCGATAAAATAAAAAATTGAACACTGTCAAAACCAGAAAGACAGGTTTTTGGCCCTTATCATGACGAATTTGGAACCAAACCTCAACAAACTATACATATTCTGAAAGGGTAGATCAATGCGCATTGAAACGATCGGAACAACAGTTAAGTCGTAAATAAACTTCAAAAAAGTGTCAAAAATTTGAACTTTAAACACGATTTGTTCAAAAACGGCTCGGTAGATTTCTTTTATCTTTGGATATGTTGTTCTACTCGTCGAGCTCTACAAAGATCACCGGGTCCCATTTTGCCGGCAATTTTTTCCTACCTTCCCATATAGTTTGTCTGGGGTAGTTTGTACTGGGGCAGTAGCGGTCGTCACTGTGGTGGTGACGGGGGCCTTCGGGCTTTCCTTGGGGCCGTAGGTAACAGGGGGTGGGGCTGCCGGCTCCATCAGCACAGAGAAAGTGACGGTGGCCGTAGGCGCCGCTTTCCTGGGGATGGTCCACAATGCAGTTTTGGGGAGTTGGCCTGTCACCCTGGTGAGTAGGACCTTTGGCACCAACGCGGCCTTTTCCTTAGTGGCTTTCACCTTCTTCTTAATCTTCTTCACCTTTCTTACTTGCTGTTCGTATTTCTTGTTTCCTTGTCGCGCCGTCTCTGAGAGGTTTGGTCTTCGGAGCAGTACTAATGGAGAGGGTGCTGTGCCGCCCGGGACCCCCGCCCCGCCGCACTGTCCACGGTTCTGTGGCGGGCCTATGGGCGCGATCGCCA